CACACACACACACACACAAAGCTGGAAGCTAACATATTTTCTTTATATGCAGATGGGCTTGAAGTGGGCATCAATGATTTGAAAAAGCATAATGAAATCCTATTACATATGTACAATAATAAACCATTTTACTTATTTTTAATCTCATTTCTTCTCGATTTCAGCCACTGTGGTTCAGGGTCTAGGCCTCTGAGCTAATGTATTATTTTTATTTCAGTCAATCGCATAATGAAGACCCTTCAGTGTTACCTTGGTTGTTCAGGTATAGTAGATGGGATGACAGTCTTCTCATAGTGAAATTATTTATAAGTTACTTTTCAAACAGTGAGTCAATTTTGGGACTCTGTATATATATCCAGTTTGCTCTTTCTACTGTATGCATGTGGCATTGTACTGAGGATTGGATTATTGAATGGGATGAATCGATTTGGATCCTTATCTAGATTACAAAGAGTTCATAAAGTGAAGAGAGAACTAGCTATCTATTAAAATAAAACTTAGTGTCAGTCTTTATAGAGCCTACACAGTGTACAAGCTATGATATAAATGCTATAATCTAAAAGTTAAAATGCTAAAATATAATGTCAAATATTTTCTGGATGGTACCGTTTGCATCAAGGTACATAATCCACCTGATTTTCAGCTCATATCTAATGGGTTCTTATAGTTTATAAATGCTTTAAAATATAACTGCATAAAAATGGTACATGTATTTGGTTTTATTCAAAGTCTCTTAATCATGTAAGAAAATGAAATTCTATCAATTCTTCAATAAATGAATTTTTTAAAAATAACTTCTGTCTATAACAGTGTTTGCGTCCTGTAAAGTCCTGCTTTTAGTATCTGCTCTTAGAAGTGAACTGTTTGTCAAATTTCCATTAAGCTGAAGGTGAAAAATTAATGAACCACTTACTTCAGATATTTCAAAATGAATGCAAGTCTACTAGTCACGCAGTACAAAAAATCAAAGATTTTGGTATGTCCAATTACTGTTTAGGGTTCACTCACATTTAACTTTTAAATGCATTGTTTCAGACGCTTAATAGGGCATTGTGGAGGAAAAAAAAAGAATAAAGTTATTGATTTTTTTATTAACTTTAACTATATCTCAAAGATAATTTTATTTATATACCTTTTTTTACCCAGACAAAGGTAATTTTAGAGCAAAGTTAATTAGTGAGTTGATTGGGATGAATGTTTTTTGTTTTTTTTTTTTTGCGGTACACGGGCCTCTCACTGCTGTGGCCTCTCCCGTTGCGGAGCACAGGCTCCGGACGCACAGGCTCAGCGGCCATGGCTCACGGGCCCAGCCGCTCCGCGGCATGTGGGATCTTCCCAGACTGGGGCACGAACCCATGTCCCTTGCATCGGCAGGCGGACTCTCAACCACTGTGCCACCAGGGAAGCCCGGGATGAATGGGTTTTGAAGGTTTTGAGAGTAGTTAGCTGGGGAGAAAGCACTAATGTTCAGCAAGCATAGAATTAATAGAATTCTAATTTTTTTTCAGTTGTACCCCTGCTCCATTTTCTAGGCATTCAGAAAACTGGTAAGACAGAGACGTTAAACTATTTTTCAAGAAATTGTTCATCCATCTTCCCTCCCTCCCTCTCTCCCTTTCCTCTCTTTTCTTTTCTTTCCTTTCTTTCTTTCTTTCTTTTCTTTCTTTCTTTGTTTTCTTTTTCTTTTCCTTCCTTCTTTCCTTCCTTCCTTCTTTCCTTCCTTCCTTCCTTCCTTCCTTCCTCCCATTAATTATGGAGCTCCTGTTATGATCCTGGCAACGTGCTGAGCATTGTGTGTCATGCAATGATGTAGAAGACTTGGTCCTTTTCTTTAAGGAGTTTAGAGGGGAAACCAAAATGTTTTTACATAGCGATAATGTTAATTAGTAACGGCAAGCACTGAAAAAAAAAAGGTGCAGATATATCACATAGAGCTGAAGGTGTCAGATAAAGTTTCTTGTGGAAAATGAGTTGGGCTTTAAAGGAAATGTATAGTTCAGACGTGAGATACATGAGAAGAGCAAGTAAAGTGGAAGGAATGGGTTACATAAAAACATGGAGGTTTAAATCACAGAATATGTAGGGGGATAGCTTAAGTTTTAGCATAAGATATATGGAGAGGAATGGTAGGAAATAATGTTGGAAATATAAGGTCTGAGATGGTGAAGGGCCTTGATTGGCAAGTTCAGTATCTGAACTGAAGAGTGGTGAAATCATGCAGCATTTAAGACGTTTCATTTTGTGTTGGCAGCATGTTAGCACCTAACATCCATGAAAACTGCAAAATAACAGACTGTACATTTCTCATAAATACTATCTCATTGTCCTGTGTACACTATAAATTTCAAAGGTAATGGCTGAGGGAGAAAATACATGCTGGGAGAACCATAGTGAGATGGCTATATCAGGACCTCCCAGCTGGCACGCTGAGTGAGGTATAATGTCTGTGCCTTGAGATATTAATCACCACGGCCCCAGGTGCATCCTGGAGAAACAGCAACTCAGGACAGCAGCTTCCTTGTGGTCTGAAAGTCCCTTTCAGTTGACCTCAGCTGGCTGCACGGCTTCTAGCATCTTCTGTGTGAACCATGCAGGGCCCGATTCACGGGTGTGCAATCTGCTCTCAAAAGCACCCACACCTGATTCATTTCCCTGCTATTGCCGTATTGAAATCCTTCCCACTGTTTGAACAAGAGGCCCCACATTGTCATTTTGCTCTGGGTCTTGCAAATTATATAGCCAGTCTCAGTACTATGACACGAAAATGGTTATGAACTACACTAGGGTCAAATGAACTATGCTATGGTCAAAATGCACAGTTGTATATCCATATAAAAAGGGCTACTAAATTATGAGACCAGCTCTGTGTTTATACGACAAAAACGATCCTAAGCTTCAATCTCATTACTTTTTCTTCAAAGCCATGACTTCTGTGACTGCCATAGGCCCAAGCTAAATACCACATTTTAGCCTTGTGGTTTTCCTGATGATAAATTAAGGAAATGCTTCTGTAACATATTTTCTCATTTATAATCTTTCTCCTGGAGCCTGTATACCAGTATTGTAGAGGTCTGCACCCCCACACAGTTCTACCAAATTAAATTCTGAGAAAACCTGTGGCAATTATTTTCCCTAATAAAGGTCTGAAAAATATAGCTCTGTATTCTCAAGCATTATTGGCTGCCTGATAGTCATTCCACTGTGTATTTCTTTTTCTGAGTCAGTATAAATATATAAACCGAATAAGCATATATTTTTTAGTTCTTTCCTTATGCAGAATTTATTCTCTCCAATCTCTTTACTCAGAGTACTTGTGTAATTTTTCTCTTGTGTTACCATAGTTGTTTCTCTCCTTATTTTCATTTAATTTTTATTTTTTCAAAGTTATAGATGAATATAAATAGATATTTCTATAAAGCTTCATTTATAAAAATGTGTCACCTTTTCTCTCCCATCCTTCCCTGTGTTTCTCTCCCCTTTGTCTGTCCCAAAGGCAAGTACTTAATTGCTTTCAACATTTTTAGTTGTTACCTACTTTTCATATTTACGTCTGTGCCTCCCAATAGCATGTTTAAGAGCTGAATACATTTTCCAGTTGTATTTATTATATTGACTTACCACTATGAAAGATAAAGATTTAATTTTCCTTCATAAGTTTCCATGTACCTTCATCCCTGACATTTGCCCTTTTCTCTTTTTTCCTAAAGAATTATATCCATTTTTGTATTAAAAAGTCATTATTTATATTACTCTGTGTGAATATTTTTCACAATGTACGATGATTGCATTTTTCTCCAGAAAATTTTTGCTCCCTTTGAAACTAATAGTTGTCTCATTTTATAGATTTCTCATTCTTCTGTATATCTCGAACCTCTTCAAATGCTAATTCTCTGATCTTACTGTGAATATGTTCTCAGAACATTAAGACGCATCTGGGATTCCCATGATTTTTGTTTTCCTGGGGACCCCCTTCCTGACGTCCTCTTCTTATCCTCACTAGGTCTGCTGCTCTTGTGCCTTTCTAGGTTTGGCCTTAGCTGAGAGCTCTGACTTAAGAATGGCAGCATAAGTTCATTTGAAGTTCTGTATGTGGTGAGATGTATTGACTGCTAAGTGTCAATGTAGGATGCCTTGAGGGAGTTATTTTATTGGTAGACTTCCAGATTTTCAGTATTTTTCTATATTCTCCATTGCCCTGGTCCTGTTTACCACAAGTGAATTATCTAGTGCCCAACCTGGAAGGAAGGATTCTGGGCACCACAAGAGTAAGGCATCTGAAGGGTCTCAGCAATCATAATACCGTCCCATTTAAAGTGTGAGTCACCCTTCCCTGTGTCTGGTGTCTCCCTGTTCAGTGTCCCACTTTCAGTCTCTGCTGGAGGGAGGGAGGACCGGGCACTGTTCATGTTGACTGGGTGAGTGAGGGGTTCGGGAGGAGAGACCCCCCGTCACAATCCAAATTTCATCAAACTCTCCTGTTTCCAGCCCCTCCATTACCCCTATTTTAATAGGTAGCTGGTGTTATCAGTTCTCAAGAGTTTCTGGGTTCTGTGGTACAAACGGCATTGCTTTTCAGCTTCCTCCCTCTGCTGGCTTAGGTTTTGGTCTCCTTGGTCTGTCATATCAGTTGACACTTATTCATCTGCTTTCATGCTTCTATCGATAGAATCTTATTGCTAATGTGTCTCCTATTCTCTTGGCCCCTGTGGGCTGATGCTTTTTATCTCTTTGTTGTCATTTCAGTGGAGAATGGAAGTAAATGCCTGTGTACGATCTGCCATAATTGACTAGGATACTTAATAGTATTTGGACTGAATTTTTATTATGAAGTATCTCAAATCATTTTTAATAAGTAGACAGAGTATAACCAAGGAATAAACAAACAAGCTGAAATAAACTTACCACTCATCATTTGAAGACGTATTACAGAAAAACCTGCTCTTCAAGTGTTTTTAACTTCTGTTTACTAAGGATTCTCTTTCTTTCTCTTTTGAATACAGATGGAAGCTTTAGACAAAACCGATCAAACCTCACCTCTCTACTAGTGCAGCCCATCTCAGCATCTCTCGTTGCAAAACTCATCTCTTCACCGAAAGATAGAATCACACACAGTGCCTGTAGCCCTCTAGAACTTCCAAATAATGGTAAAGTACTTAATGTCTTTCTGTGTGTCTTCTAGTTTTTATAACGCCCATGATCATTATTAATCTCTTTTGATTGACATTTTTTAGATTATTCTTTTTTAAAAAATATATATATATATTTTTGTTGTTGATGTGAGCATTTATTTCTCTTCTCTGGCTCTTAAAAGGACATTTTTGAAAGTAATTTTGATAAAGACTGAGAGTTGACCAAGCTGAGAGATTAAAAAAAGAAGAAAAGCATTTTGAACTGTAACAAAGAAAAGCAGCTTTACAAATAAAGCATTTTGTACATTCATGAAAATCTGCTTAACACAGCTTCTCAGTTTAAGCTTCAGCAGTCTTGTTGCCTGCCAAGATTCAGTGGATAGCAGTCAGCTATCTGGCATATGAAGTCTTTTAGTTGAAAGCATTAAAGCCTAATTCCTGCTGTTGACTAAAAAATCCCTCTGTCTTTACGCATCATTGCCCGAGAGATGCTTCTTGTACTGCAGTGCAGTTTGTCAGGCCTTGTTGGACCACATAGGATAAAACTCAACTCATTCAGCTACTGTGGTAGGGTGAAAATCAGGGGCTGTGTCTTATTTCTACCTCCAGCCTCAGCATTAGACCTCTAAAGAAGAGACTCTCTTTACATATTGTTAAATTTGTATCAAGTCGCTGTGAAAGTCAACTTGAGGGCTCTGTTTTTGTGTCCAGACCCAAAGGCTCAACTACCATGTTTTATCTCATCTGTTTTCTCCTGACAACAAAAGCATAAAAAATATGTTTTGAAAAAGCCTAAAAAAAAAAACAAAAAACACCTGAGTACATTCAGAATTGCCCTTTGTTAGAGACATAGGCTTTTCAAAGTTCTGTATCTTGAGAGCCTCAACTGATTGTTGATTGAACATAGTGGGAACTATAGAAAACAGGGTTAAGTCTATGTCCTCAAAGCAGGAAAGAAGAAGCTCTTGAGGAGATTTTTGTTTTGCTTAGTTTTTTCTGTCTTCTATTCCTGAGCCCCACAATTTTATAATGAGCTCTATTTGTTAAAATATGTAAATAACACTATAATAATAGTTCACTTGTAAGAAAAGCACTGAACATTGAAAAGACCAGATTTAAGTCCAGATTTAATTAACTGATTGATTTATTCAAGAAACATTTACAGCCCCTAATATGTTCAGCCACTGTCCTGCCCTCAGTGAGCTGACAGTCCATGTCAGCTCCATGACTGCTCATATGTCACCTCCCTGCGGGAAGCTTTCTGTGTCTGTGTCTACGGAAGGATATCTCACCTTCTAGTATCTTACGTTGTTCTGAGAATCAAATTAGGACGTTTAAGTGAGTACTTTTCTATACTGTAAAATGTAATGTTAGCAAGTATCTTCCTTATCAAATAACTAATCAATTTCCCCCAAATATGTTAAATGTCTGCATAATAAGAGCACAACGAAGCAAAATGGCATTCTCCAGCTATATCTCTCTCTGCACTAAGTTAGCAACATGTATGAAGTTTAGAGGAAAAATTCAGATATACTCTGAAACCTGTTTGTAACTCCATTGTTAAAGAAGGAACAACCTAGGCCTGCTTTCTAAGCAGTTATGTCATATCAAGTTTTCCTCATGGGTGTGGTGATTATTATTGGTTTTAGAAATTTTCAGACAGAGATATATTTCAATCAAGATATTTCACATTGTAATGGATCCTCCTTTCATCATTTTTTTACTATGGAATATTACCTTTTGATTTCCCAAATACCTACTGAGCAGTCTCAGTGAGTTATTACATTTAAACTGATCTTAAATGTAGGATAAATGACCCTTAACCCCAATGTTTTAGACAACAGTACTCATGATACGTACATCCAAGATAATTAACTTTTAAGTTTTCTGAGAAACACATAAATACGTTAGTTCCTCACTATGATCTGTATCGGGGTGGGACATGAAAAGGATACAGAATGATGTGCTATGTTTTTGAGCAATAAGAGCAACACTTGTAGTTTACAGATTTAAAAAAGTAATGTAAAGCTTATTATAATTACATCTGACTTGAATTTTATAAGTATAGTCTTGAGTTTTAATGTAGGAAAATCTTCACTCAAAAGTTTGGACAGGAGTGCATTAAAAATACGTGTGCAAATCAACTAATTATTTATCTTGCTCATTTAACCCTTTATATACACTTAAACAGAATTCTCTAGAGTCCAGACAGCAATGTGGTAGAGTTTGCCTGCCATGCTTTCTTTTTCAGCATCCATTTGCCCCTTCCCCTTTTTGAACTGTTGCCAACATTTCCTAGCAATATAGTATGAGTAGGTTTGACCATATCTTAAGTTGTAGAAGTAGATCCTGATTGGCTTGAGTCTATCAGCATATCACATCAACGGTGGGATGATGGTTGGTTCAAGGATGATGTAAGTTTGGCCAAACAGAGACATGACTCAACTTCTGGACTTTGAATAATGGCTAACTTTAACAGTAGAGCTGAACAAGAAAGCATATAGCCCTGGGATCTTTCAATAGCCTTTCTGGGATCTTGAGAGTATAATACCTGAAAATGGAACCAACACAAGGAAGGGGTAGGTGAATAATGTGGAGAGAGAGAGTGTGAGAGAGAGACTGACTCTTGTCCACATCATTTGATGCCTAAATAAAGCCTTGTCTAAAAGCCAAATCTACTGAATTAGCCATATATGTGAGGCAGTACATTTCCTTTCTTTTTCTTGTCAACTTATGTTCGATTTTCAGTTGCTTGCAAACAAAAGCTACAAAATTGATACTGTAAAACCACACTAAACAAAATAATTAAATATCTATATGCATGAAATAGACTCAGCTAAGTGAAGTGAAGAGGATGGTATTTGTAGGGCAAGTCCTGGAAGAACTAAGAAAATTGTATGAGGAATAGAAAAGGAAGCAGGAGAAAAGTTTCTTGCCCCAATATATAGAGATTTGTTGCATTGATTAGATAATTGGATATTGACGCCATTTAATTTTCCATGACTTTTGTAGGTCTTACCCATTGATTATATATTGTCAATCTTTGTCCTTGAGAGTCAATGAATACATGGAAATGTGAATTTTCAGATATCAATCTGAGCTTGTTGTTAAAAACCATGACTATAGTGAAAAAAATGAGATGAGAAAGTATAAAACCTGTTAATGTAATTTAGGGTGAAAAATATTAATGAATTGTGCTTAAAGAAATATTTTAATATGCTTGAATTGCTTTTGATAAATAGAAAAAAGTGACTTACTATGATACATAAAATTTAGTGTCATTAGTGATAAGTTTTCACATAAGTAAATTTGGATCGTATATCTTCAAATGGTTATATATATATGTAGCTATATAATGCTACTATTTCCCTATTCATAATTATATATGTTCTTTGTTCAAAATTATTTTCATCAGAGTAATATAATGTTCTCTGATAATTTTTATAATTTTCACATATTTCAAATGAATTTTGAAGATCTATATTTCTAATTTGTTAACAGCCACTTGAAAGTATGCATTATTTTCATTTTTTGAACAGAAATGTAAAAAGTATTGAACATATTATCTACAAAGTGTGGTTATTCTAAAACTTTTTTTGGCAAATAATACATACTAGCTTTTAAGGAAATATCCACTAACAAGAAATGTTAGTACAGGTTAAGTCCAGCATTGCTTTTTGTTACATATGAGACTAACCATCCTGTTCAGAGTAGACTCAGTGTTGCTGTATGTGAAAAGATCCAAGAGTACATTGTGCTATTCTGTTAAAAGAATGTCTTGAGATATACGTGTGTGTGTGTGTGTGTGTGTGTCTTAAGTAGATAATGGAGTGGTATGGATGTGATATGCTGTGGCTTGGCTTTTAGAGGCTTTGTAAAAGAGAATTCCCCAGTAGATTTTTTAAAAAGTCAGAGAATTGAAGACTTGTTTTAGCGTAGGGTGAGCTTTAATAACTTCTAGCCATCAACATGGAGGGAAATATCCAGAAGAACACAAGGAAAAATGTAATGTACTCAGATAACTTCTATATAGCATTCATGTAGATATGATGGCCACTCTTTAAAAAAAAAAAATCAGTGAGCTAGACTGCTGTAGGAAAGACTGATAGGTCTTGTGACAGATGCAAGCTAGTTGTTAGGAATCACTAAAAGGCACTGATGACACCCCAATTTTATGGCTCTTCAAGCAGCCAGTTGCACAGTGAACCTAGGAGTCTGAGCAGGAAGCCGATAACAGAGTACTCTGTAGAAGTAGAGATCAGCCTTCATGAGCTGCCAGTCTGCAGTCCTCAGACAAAAGGGAAAAAAAGCTTTAGAAATCACTTTGAAGGTCTGTTCATCAAGGGTCTTAAACAGAGTGAACACAGGTGGGAAACCTATTATCCAAAGTCCACAGAAAGTACAGTCAATTCTCTGTTTCCCGGGGAGTACAGGTTGGATTTACGGAGGGTGACACAGATGTCATTCACCAGAACTTCTCAGGTTTCCAGTTTTCTGTCTTGACGGTTTTGATTTTAGGAAATGATTCAGCTTAGATCCAGTCTAGAGTTTTGTTTGTTTGTTTGCTGGAAGACCTAGAGACAATCTGAAATACACACTCTGAAGCAAAATTACTTTAACAAGTATTTTCCAATTTTTAATGTTTCTCAGCAATTTTTTACAGTTTCTTACATTCTTACCACATCGTTTCTTAAGTATCTGTACTCTTTCCAAATTATAGAAGCTCCAACTAAATTTCGTAGTTTATGTATAAATCTATCAGAGCAATACCTTATCTTTATATTTTGAGGATCATTTTTTCATAATGGGTGACCATTGTCATTTACTATCCTAGAAACTGCCAGAGATTCCTGAATGCCTTTCTGGTTCTATATCTTGCTATTCCCTTCATGTAGCCACAATTTCTTCCTATTATTCTATTTAGTATTATCCAAATATGTCTTGCAAGTTGTAAAACCCCAGTATACTCTAAACCTCTGTGCAAGTGCCATCTCCTCCATAAAGAGCCCTTTGGA